AAGAAGCGAATTATACCCATATTTATAGGCCCTGCGTTAATTGTTTCTCGTGCCTAAGCCAGTGAAAAGTTGTACTCACATAGGAGATTTACCTATCAGAAAATATTCACAGCCACGAGAAAGCAGGTATTGGAAGAGCTGGTAGAGTTTAGATGGGATAAATTGTCCAGATAGTCGTCTAAATGCTCCACTTAGTTCTTTGAATTCGATACCCATATCCTCTTTTGATGCTTTTTCCGGGTAGACCAGAGCTCTACCCGGTCTTTCTCACCAGCTCTTTCTCACTCCATCACTACCTTGAGGTCCTGCTATAAAACAATCCACTTTCTTAGTCCTAGGCTATCAAATTGAATAGAAAGCTTGGAAAAAAAGAAGTTCTTAGAAGAGGACATGTAGGAAGGGTGGGGGAGCCACCTTCTACTCAAATATTTAAATGAATTTGGATGAACCTATGTTCGTCTATGATATGAAAAGTCTATGGTATGAAAAGTTCAAAATATTATGATGTCATAGGACATTTGGTACACCGTCTAGAGCAGAACAAACTTTACGTCTTATAAATGTTTAGGAAAAAAAGTCTGATGATTTTGTTTCGCATATTTATCAACTCAGAGTTGGGGAAAAGAAACTTTAGATCTTTTCTTTTTTTCTTTTTTCTCTGAAGCATGTTATAGCCAGCGCATTTTCTCTGAAAACTTTCGTGTACGTTCAAATAATAGCTTCACGTCTTGATTTAACAGATGCGGAAACAATGGAGCATGGTCGTTCACTCAGGGAATTTTATTTTAAAAAGCCTATCCTTGTTCTAAGCTGATCTGACTTGCATTTCTTTACTTTACTACCTGTTACCAGGTAACTTAGGGTGAGTTACTCTATGTCACTGGGTTACATTTTCCTGATCTATGCATCTACTAAACGGAACTGTGGAGCGGATGAACTAAGACAATGTATGCAAATTACCTAGTACATCTTCCTGCCACACAGGAGATGCCCAGTGTGTCTTAGTCATTTTGGAAATTGATGCGAATGAGAGGGTTGCTACTTTGTTAAACAAGCCCAGTGTCTTCCAGCCTCGTGACAGTGGGCGCTGGGAAGCAATGGCAGTGCAGATGGAACCGTTTAAAAAGGAAGGTCGTAAAAGGGAGCTAAGTTCTTCTATCCTGCAGACAGATGAGAGGGGCAAGGCGGACTTCGCAGTCTGGGAAGTGGTGCTGAGTGAAATGGGGCAGGGAGATGCGGGACTGAGCTGTCCGAGACAGTGGTTCTCGCAATGTGGGATAACTGCGGCCCATCTCCCCTGGGCTGCACAGGATGCCACGGTCTCACTCCTGTTCTCTGATTGCTCTTTGTTTGTTTGTTTGCTTGTTTCTTTGTTTAAAGCAACAGATGGAGTTTTTTGTTGTTCTTTTGAAATAATAATGATAGCAAAGATAAAATGTTTGAGGCTTTTTCCTTTTCCTTTTTCTTCTTTCATATTTCTCCTTAGCCAAACTCTCTTTTGTCACAGTCAGCCTCTTGAGAAATGCTTGCGTTTCCACATCTCCGTGAAGGGGATGTGACACTGGCTGTTGCATCAGGTATAAGAGGAGCGGAAAGCTGGAAGCTAAATTTCTGCAGTCCTTAGAATTCTAAGAAGATTATTAGACTTTTCCATTTGCAAAATGGAGAAAATACCTTTCCTGTGTTACAAAGGCTTGGGGAATTACACCTGAGAGAGCACTGTGGAAATCTTTAAGTATAAAAACAAATGAAAGTCGTCATTATTAAATAGAAGTCAAAGGACATCCTGAAAAGGCATTCTGAGTCGGAGAGAAATGTCTAGGTTCTGTTAGGCTGCTCTTCGTCTGGGCACGCTATCTGTACATTTTCTTCGCATAATTTAGATAATAGTATCCATCTTCTTCATAGGAAATTTTGTGTAAGGGGCAAAAGTTGTAAAACTCTCAAGGCATTGTCAAAGACATTGAGAGTCATTAAAAAATTGCTCAAGTTTTGTCCTTTGCCTTTGAGGGAGCTTACAGTGTAATCAGTGAGATAAGCTGTGAATGTAATGAATTACAAGTCAATGTAGGCTGTGTTAAGGCCGTTGGAAACTGGGGAACACACAAAATGGATGCAGGTTATTTGAGGGGAAGAGTTGCTTAAATTCGTGGTCCTATTAGGGAACAATAAGTCACCCTGCCTGGCCTGGGCACAAGGCAAAAGAAACCAAATAAAGCAAAATAGTCAAGCTAACACAATGTCTGCCATACTAATATGAAAAAAATTACACAAACAGTTTATGCTCAATTTAGAAAATGTAGAACAAAATGTTTCTTATTTGAGATCTTAGAAATGAGAGGCAGCAGAAGAAATTGGAACTCAGGGCTCCCAGCTTCAGTCCTGGTTCTCATTATTTCACAAAAGTAACATGTTTCTATCAGTAAAGATAAGAATAAAGTATGATGAGTGACCAAAGTTTGACTTAAAAAAAAAAAAACTTTCTATAGAGTATAATAACATGTTTGATAATAATGTAATATTCAGAATGGTGTATATCTGAATGGAAAGGCCTATGATGAATATTTGTTAAAAGAACACAGGGCAAATGACAGCATTTCAGAGTCTTAGATTTTACTAAGCCTTTGGGTTTACAAAGATACAGGAGTCCCTGTTTCTTCATTCAAGACCTAAAACAGAAAGTAGAGAAAAACAATCAGTGATTTGATGATAAAATTGCCTTAGAATCTAATGTACAGGGGGAAAAAAGTTTTATAATGGTCCTGACAGAAATACATTTCATTTAATAGAATATGCTAGGAAATGCATGGACCTAGAGTGGATGAATGATTACCAGGAAAAAAAAAAAAAAAGTGCTCTATCACAATGGCATATTGCGTATCTGATGGCAGCTCAAAATTTTAGTAGCCTTAAAATACTCTTCACCATATGGAATTGGGTTTCTTTCTGATTATACACTTATGTAAACTTTGTTTTAACTTGCACATGCTAGACATAGTATGGTTGGAAATGTTGGGTCCAAATGAAGTAGCTGTTGCCTTCATATCTTTTGGGAATGAGGGGTTCAGGCATTTCCTATGAAGGGTTGATTATATGAGGAAGAGGCAGGTGGTCTATGACGGTGCAAGTGTGAGCTAAACCCTAATGCCCACACTGAAAAGGAAACCATTATTTCACAAAGTATCTTTTTTGAAGAGTGAATCATTTTGCTTGCTTTTATTGCTCTCAGAATTTTTTAAACCTTTACTCAATATCAGACATATTTTGTGTCAAGTGCAGTTGGCTCTTCTAAGAGCCATATAATCATTTTCTTCTTCTCTTTTCCTTCCTCCCTGCCTCCCTTTTCTTTCTTAATTTTCTTTCTTTTTTTCTTTTTTCTTTCCTTTTCTTTCTTTCCTTCCTTCCTTCTTTCCTTCCTTCCTTCCTTCCTTCTTTCCTTCTTTCCTTTCTCTTTTCCTTTCCTTTGTTTTTGATTAAATGAATACTGTCAAAGAATTCCTCTTCAAAAGATAATGAGATTATATATTTAATTTTGGAAAGCTCTGATGGTAGTGGTTCTACATATATTGTATATATTTCCCTGGCATGAACTTTGTGCTGAGAGCTGCACATGACCGCTACTATCACCTTTGTATTGTTGAACATTGTCACCCGACGTGAATGAAGGCACCTGTAGAGACTGGTCAATAACTGCAGGGCCTTCAGCCATTAGGGATCTGTGAGGAGATATTGTGTTTAAATACATGGTTCACTACCAAACAAGGACAGTCAGTTTGTTCACTACCAAACTCTGACAATCAGAGTAACCTAACCAAAAACAAAAAACACCCAACAACCAATAACAACAACAAAGGTAATGCTAGTCTATTAAATGGCCATCTTAGAACCCCCAAATGTTTATTCTGCAGTGATGTTTTGAGAGCTTGTGTTTTTGCCTCTATTTTTATCATTTGGCAATGTGGACCTGAGCATGATTTAGGGGAAATATTCAGAAGTTGAATTTCCATACCCCTACCCCTTCAACTTGTTTCAATCTATCTCCAATTAAAAAAAAAAAAAGAAGAAGAAGAAGAAGAAGAAGAAAGAAAAAAGAAAGACCCCCTCCCAAAAAAGAAATTCTTTGAGCTTCATCACATTTTTGTTTTCTTACAAATAAGGTTATTTAATATATAATTAATAGCTAGAAGCTTACTGAATAAAATGTATGATGAAGAAAATGCAAGAATACAATTTAGTTCTCTCCCTTACAGTGTCCTCAAGCTCTCTCAAAAATTTCCAACTCTTGATAGTACTCAGCTTTCCTCAGATTTTAAGATAAACACTTGAGGGATGCCTAGGTGGCTCAGTGGGTCGAGCCTCTGCCTTCGGCTCAGGTCATGATCTCTGGGTCCTGGGATTGAGCCCCACATCGGGCTCTCTGCTCAGCGGGGAGCCTGTATCCCCCTCCCTCTCTGTCTACTTGTGATCTCTGTCTGTCAAATAAAAAAATAAAATCTTTTAAAATAAATAAATAAGAGTAAACAATTGAGAAAGATCTTTCTCTAAAACAAAATGCCCTAATGCACCCATCCCAGAACACATTCTCCCTGCCCTTGAGAAGCCTGCTGCTCTCAGTTTTGGTTATACTCCTTGGTTTTATGCTTATGCAGTAGTAAAACAGGGGATGTGTTTTCTCTGTACCAATAGAGGAATAGCCAAATGACTATAGTGAATGATCCTTAAAGAATTACTTAAAGGAAGAGCATTTGGATTTCTTCCTCTCAGGGTTCCCAACCATGGGATGGCATTGTTTGAAAAGAGACAAAACAAAACAAGACCAACTTCCTGGGACTGAAATTCTTTGTATGTGTTGTTATTTGCAGTGCATGCCAAGACATTCATGAGCACCAGAGCCAAGCTGGCGAGCTAATTAAATATATATATGTATGTGTTTAAAACAGCCTAATAAGGAGCATTGGAAATCTTCAAGATGAGCGAATATCTTATAACTTCTTCCGCAGGTGCGAGGATAGCTACAAGCCATGGACTTTCTGTCCTGCTTCTTGTTTGTGGCTTTGTGAAGGGTGCTTTGCTTTAATCTAAAGTGCTGACTTTTTTCCAATATCACTTTCTCTTCTTAAAGCAAAGAGCAAATCGCCTGTAAAATCTACGGAGCGGACAGCAAAGTTGACCCTAAACTCCAAGCACCACTCTGCACCCACTGTTCTCTAATTACCTACCCAAGGAGCGCCTGCTTCCGGAAGCATAAATGAAGAGGCTATCACACGCTTTGGTCATAACATTTTCTTGGGCAAATCACTGATCTTTTATTTCAAGAAAATTAGTGTGAAGTGATAGGACTTTTTCTAATAGCAAGATCTATTTTTTTTTTTTTTTTCCCTTTTCCTTCGGCTACTTAAAGCATCATCTCAATGACTGCTCAGGGGTTGGCCTGAACGTCATCGGTATAGCAAATATTTACTACTACGGATTTCCTACTAAAAGACACATTATCTGCAGGAAACAAACAGAAATCAAAAAGCTACAGAACATAAACTATCATCAAACAAAACCCCCGATTTGGGGCAACAACAAAATCGTCAACACTGCGAGTCAACAAGGAGAACATTATTTTAAATAAGACATAATATAAGAGGTTTTGTTTTGTTTTGTTTTTTTAATTTTCTCTTTTTTCTTGGATTTTTTTTTTTTTTTTTTTGCCTTTTTCTTGATTACAGTTCTTGTTCAATGGTGGCAAGTGCTGATCACGGCCAATCCCTGTCAATCCTGGGAGGTTTCTATAAATACATTTTGAGTGTTCTATATTTCGATGTATTTTAATTCATTTTGCAATTCCTGTATATGCAAACTTGACAAGTTCTGTAAATTGCTTATAGTACGTGTGATATAACTTCAAAGTAGATAGACTATGACCCTCATGCAAGCTGATTTTTATCATTAAATATATAAATATATACATATAGAGATCTATATGTTGAGCCACCAACCAACTTTTTTTAGATAAAGCATTTGTTTTTCACTTATAATTCATATATTGTGTGAATTTTGTAATGCCTTGTTTCACTTCCACAGGTTTGACAGCTGCAGATGGTCTCTGTTGCCCTCTGCTTCCTTCTGGAAAATGCATATTCAAAATTGTATTGGTCTCTGATAAATGAATTAATTTTGTTGTGTGTATGCTGTGTTGAAATTTGCTATGTTTCTTTATATACGGTGTTGATTGAGGTTGGAGGGTCTCTTGACTCTGAAGAATGTACACTCTCTGGTTTTGACAGTTCTTCCTCCATTATTATCATCGTTATTATTTTCAAAAAGTAAGGTTGCTTCTAGAAAATTTGCCTTGGAGGTGAATGTGGATAAGGTGAAGTGGTCACCATGATTACCCAAAGTCATGGAAGAACACTTCTTGCTGTGGCTTAAAATGCTGCTTCCTTTGACCTTTATGGATTTTTGTAGCTTTGTCACTCTGTTATTTGCTGCTAATTATATTTTAATGTCTCCTAATTAAAAATTAAAATTTGGTTGTTGGCTAAATAGAATATGCAAAAGATGACTGCAAATCCCCAACTAAAGAAGACAATGTGTTCAAGTTTTCACTGGTTAAGTGAATTATAATTTCAAATATTGCATTCTTATTTTTGGCTTTATGATAATTCAGATTATTTTATTTGGAAACTGTTTTCTACTCTGGCAAAGAATGATAGGCAGAAATTAATGTGTTCCAGATACACTAGAATAGATACAGATTGAGACAGAAGTGACTTAAGTTTTCCTTACAGAGAGATTCTTCCATTTTCTTTCATAACAAAACCAGAAGATCATCTTTGTAGGACCAGCAGCTCATAGGCAAAGGTCCTAAACTGAAGCTTGAAGGCAATGAATACCTCTGCTTTTCAAAGGTAAATGCATTGATTTTCTGCTGTTCAATTACAAGCAGTGTGCACATTTTCATAATATCTTAACATTATCTTTGAGAAATAATGTTTCAGGCTAAAACTTTTATTGACTTCTTTTTGTCCATTTGGTTTATTATTTCAGTCTAATGAGAAAAATAAATAAAGGATTTAATTACGCTATTTTATTAACCTAGAAATTTATTTTCTTTCAAAATTTAATACTTAAAATGCATAAATTAATGTTAGATAAATATTTATTAAGTCTATCTGGCCTCTAAAGATCACATATATTCAAGCATAAATTAACTCACTGATTCAAATCCAGTCAGGCTGGGAAAATCCACTATGGAATTTACTTTTACCCAAAGTTCAGGTCATGAGATTGGTCAACTTTAAAGCAAGACAGACGTGTATCTGTATCAATGATGTTTACCATGCTCGCTCGTAATAAAGGATATATGCTGGCTTGGGAAGAATTCTTGCTAGATTCATTGTATCAGTGTCCAAAATAATGAAGTCTCCTTTGTCAGTGGGATTCCGAGAGTCTGGCTCACTGACCACTGTGAGAAAGAACATGGCACACTCTTTCTATCTCCAAACTTGAAAAGTTAATATGTAAACTTAAATATTGGATAGAAGCTTTAAAAAATTTAAAGAATCTGTCTAGTGTTTTTCATCTTGTATCGTGTACCTCTGGGACTACTACTCATAGGTAACCATGACTAGAAACAAAGATTGAAAAATAAATTATATGATTTTCTCAACTTTGATTTCTAAGATGAAATGTTTTTCAGAAGAGGAAGTCATAAAAAGTTGAAATTACTTACCTGAATTCAAACAAATTCTTTAGTTTTTCTTAAAGACTTACATATTGCTTACAAATGAAACAATGCAAATGAAAACCCTTGAGGATAAAATAACAAAAATCATCTAAAGCAGGAGCTCTTAATCTGAGTTGTAAACAAGCTTAGTGAAGTCTATGAACCCACAAAAATTATATGCATCTTCTTTATCCATTCATCAATTGATGAACATTGGGCTGTTTCCATAATTTGGCTATCATAGATAATGCTGCTATAAACATAGGGATGTATGGATCCCTTTGAATTAGTGTTTTTGTATTCTTTGGATAAATACCTGCTAGTGCAGTTGGGTCAGTGGGTATTTCTGTTTTAAACTTTTTGAGGAACCTCCATGCTGTTCTCCAGAGTAGTTGCACCAGTTTGCACTCCCACCAGCAGTGCAAGAGGGTTCCTTTTTCTCCACATGCTGGCCAACACCTGGTGTTTCTTGTGTTGTTGGTTTTAGCCATTCTGACAGGTGTGAGGTAGTACATGTGTATTTGTTCCATGGAGATGGTCCCTTCCATTCATTAATTCTGAAAGTGATTTGATTATGATTTGTTGGCTGAAAAGAAGAATGCTTAGATGTTTTTGAGCACCTAAAAGGATCTGATTATTATTTTGAACTAATTTGCCTTAAAGTTCTTAGAAGTGAGACATGTTTAGGGAAATAGTATATATAATTTAAGAAGTAAATGTAATTTGAGATAATACATAAACTGTAACCGTGTCTTAGAGTTAAAACTACAAGCTACAAAATACAATGCACATAATTTCAAATATGAAGCCCAAATAATTTTAATTTTAAAGTTTATTTATTTATTTATTTATTTAAGTAATCTCTACACCCCATGTAGAACTCATGACTTTGAATCACAGGGTCTTCTGACTGAGCCAGCCAGGTACCCCCAAATAATTTTAATTGGAGAACCGCTCATTAATAAGGGAAGCAGTCTGTCATTTAGAAAGTGTTTTAAATTTCCTTGCCCCAGTGATGGCCTAGATAAAGTCCTTTCCTGTACCCGGGGAAAGACAAACAGGAAACATCCAAAAACAAGTGAACATAACATAGTGATAAATTCTAAGAAAAAAACCCATTAGGACAATAGAAAAGACCATGACTGGAAGTGAACAGGGAGGCTGCGCAGAGGAGGCAACATTTAATCTTGAATCTTGTCAGGGGAGAGGATCTGGGAGAAGCTTCCCGGGAGAAGAAACAACAACTTGCACAAAACTCCAAAGGGAAGTCCATCTAAGCTGGCTCATGCATTAGAAGAACAAGGGTATCGTGAGGGGAGTATGGCAGGAGATGACATCAGGCAAAGGAGAGCCAGAGAAATGAAGCAAGGGCAGAGGAACCAGTTTGTGAAAACTCCAAGGTGAGCTGTTTTTCTGAGATCCAGACACAGGCTATCTCCAGACCTGACTTCTTATTGTGTATAGTTTTGCTTGTAAGCAAAAGTCTTTCAAAACAAAATTGAATCTCTCAAATAGTCGAGTAATGCTTTTGTGTTGGAGCTTAGGGATCTATTAGGTATGAAGGAATTTAATAGCATTTTAATGCTAATTTACAATTGATAGTTTTGAGGGGGAAAAGAAAAAAATTGAGAGGTAATCGGGACTGCTTTTAGTACAGAACTGAAATAGTTATAATTACAAATGTAATTTGAAATAAAAACATGTATATGAATTGAAAGTGCAGACAGGTTGAAATAAAAGAGACTCCTAGACACTTGGTAGAACGTTGTCATTAAAAAGATAAAGGGAGGGAAAAAAAAAGTGATTAAAAAACTAGGATCATAGAATCCTCCACAATATAAATCACAGAAGACAATGGATTAAAGAGCACAGTGGGAAAAATATTGTGACAAAATAATTTTATACTTAGTTAAGTTATATTTTCAGTGTTAGGGAAATAAACAAAATCATTCTGAGATAGGCAAGGTTCATAGAAAAATTGTACATGTCTACTCTTAAGGCTATGCTTACCAACTATATGTTCCAACTGAGAATCAAATATAATTTTAAAAATAAATAGGCATGGGGGTGCCTGGGTGGCTCAGTGGGTTAAGCTTCTGCCTTCTGCTCAGGTCATGATCTCATGATCCTGGGATGAAACCGTGCATCAGGCTCTCTGCTCAGCGGGGTACCTGCTTCCGCCTCTCTCTCTCTCTGCCTGACCCTCTGCCTACTTGTGATCTCTGTCTCTCTCTGTCAAATAAATAAACAAAATCTTTAAAATAAATAAATAAATAATAAATAGGCATGATATAAACTGTCTAACATATGAGCTCTGAAATCCAAAGAGTCATTGAATATTTTATTATATTTTACTGCATATATATGAAAAGAAACAAGTTTCCAAAATAGCATTTATGCTTATTGTAATAAGCATGCAGTGAAATGCGCTCTAATATTTTCTATTTTGTTCTGTTTCTATTTTTTGTTAACACTTGTCATAGAACATTAAATTGATTTTATAACCCAAAATCTGGAGAAAAAAAATCACAGGTAGATTTTATTCCAAAATTTAGTACAAATGGCAAGCATAACTAAATGGCAGTATATAATATAAAATGGTGATTTAATTGAGTTCTGAACTCTTATTCTATTTTTAAAATCTAGGAAGTCAGAGATGACCCATATTTTCCAAGGGGAAAAATATGCCTGCTTTCTCCTGTATTAAGGTGACATGACACATATTGGGGGTTAGGAAGTAATAGGTTTATTGTACATGTCTGTGGTCTTTGTGTTCTATTTTAAGTTTGTATCATTTTCTTTTTCTGGCTTATTATCATCTGAACCTCTTCCTGTGTTTGACATATCTTTAACCCCTAGTTACACTGATGAGGTCCTTTGGAAGACATTTCCTTCTTCAGTCCTTTAAGAAC